GTTTTATGTTTACGCGGCACGATGCAATGCAATGCAATGCAATGCGTAAAAAGACAGTATAAGTCATTATAATCCGTAATTATGTCCCCACTGGATGCAACAAATGCCTCGTTTGTAATGGGTTTTAATGTTTAATGTTTTTGTCTCGTCGCTCTGGCCGGACAGGGCATCACAGTATGGTGAGGGGCATAACATTTCCGTCTTACGCTTGAGGTATTCGGCCAATCACAACGCACTAGATAGCTGGCCAATCAGAGCACACCTCACTTTTTCAGACCGATGAGCTTTGTAAAAATCGACACGTTTCAGAAAGGCGGGGCATAGAGGAGAAACAATAATGTACAGTATGTGGAAAATAATGTTTTTTTTACTTTAAACCGCATAAACACATTTCATTACACCAAATACACAAAATAATGTTCTTTTAAGCAGCATCATATGACCCCTTTAAGCCGAAGTAATGGAATAAAACTTAGATATCGTGTTTTTTATATGTACATATATATTTAGTTACTTATAGTATCCACAAAATGTATGCATTATCATTGCAGAGAAGAAAATTGCCGTTTAAAAACGGACGTGCTGTCACAATAGAGTGATGGTTGCTGGGAGTTGTAGTTCACAATAGGTGGGCGTGTCTACAATGCGCAATTCTGTGATGCATTCATTTGGATTGACATCCTGGTGAAAACACAGGCTGTCCACTTAGTTCAGTGGTTCCCACCCCTGGTCCTGGAGGCACCCCAACACTGCATGTTTTGCATGTCTCCTTAATCAAACACACCTGATTCAGATCATCAGCTCATTAGCAGAGACTCCAAGACCTGAAACTGGTGTGTCAGAGAAAGGAGACATGCAAAATGTGCAGTGTTGGGGTGCCTCCAGGACCAGGGTTGGGAACCACTGACTTAGATAAATGACTTATTTGATGTCTTGTCTGCATAAGATGAGCAATGCCATTAATGTTGACACTTACATGATTGGGAGATTCTGTGCGGGTGCTGCACTGGATCTCATACTCTACCTAGTTTGCAGTAGCCATGATTAAAACAATACGTTGTTCTATTCAAGTTTATTATTTTATGTTTTTTGAACCTCTGGTCTGGTCAATGTCCGCCAGGACAGATGGAATAATTGCTCATTTGAGTTTTAAGGTCTTGAGCTCCTACTCTAAATAATATGCAGACGCATTAATGGGGCCATTCAATTTCCCCTCGAGGATCAGTACGCGCCTTTATACTGTACCTGTCTGTTTCACAGCCTTTCTGGGAAAACTGGATCATGCACGCAGCGTTACGTAATCAAGTAAAGTCATGCATAGTAATTTTCACACAGTCCCTCCTTTGCAGACGGTCCCTAGAACACTGCCCTGATATGTGCGTAACGCAGAGTCCCATGCGCTTCCATTCACTAGCAGCGCGCAGGAGGGTGTGTGTGTGTATGAGTGAGTGTGTGTGTGTGCGCGCGCGTGTGACACACGGGATGAAGATGATGAGACTCCACTAGGACAAGTGAACCTTCTAGATTGGATACATTCCGGGGTCGGACCTGATCAGCGTGTCTGCGCTCGGACTCTCCATCTGCGTCTATTAACCGGACACATATCTGTCCATATAGCCTACTTCTAGAAGAATATCTGCGTCTCTCTGTATAATGCCGACACATATGAGATTTCGGAGAAGGTCGTTTCTCGGGCTTTTATTTCTCTTCTCGCTCTCCACTTCTGCACTGTACTTCATCTATTCAGCCCCTGGCATAGGTAAGCCACTGAGACATTTAGTTAACATCTATTCTGAATAGGCTGCATGTGGGTGACATCTGTAGTCTGGTTATATAGGTTTGTCAGTTGATGATGACTGTATGATGAATAGGCCTATTGATGGCCAGTCATTGTTTTTAATTTATCATGTATAGAGTAATAAGCCCGCGATCGGTTGTTTGTGTTTGGAGAGCAAATTCTGTCAGACCTCCCATCAAATCCATGTCGTTTACTGTGCTCAGCATGTATGAAGACCTCCACTATAGAGAACACTTCATATCTCCAGGCAAATGCGCTTTGATTTTTTTGACTGTTAGTGGTCTAATAACATTATAAATTGTGCTACTATATCTTCGGGCTTTCCGGGAGCTTTCGCTTCGCCACAGCGCGCAGTTTTTGGTCAAAGCCCGCCCCAAAGACGCGCCTTCCAGGCAGCGAAGCTCCAGTCCACGAGCGCTTCGGTCATGAATGTTTTATTAGGATATGCTGACGTTATAAGAGCTATTAAATCGTGCATTTGAATAGGGGTTATAGTAGGATTTGTCAATTCCGATTGGCGAAGAACTTTGCAGTAGCTTTATTTGTTTTTTTAATAATGCAATAGCAAACAATAACATTCAGTTTAAAAGTATTAGCTTAGGTCAAGGTTATTTGTTAATATACACAACGAGAGTTAATTACAAATGGCACGAAACACAAACTGCACATTTTTTAAATCCATGTGACTTAGGCTACATGTGTCGGAGTGTACGTATATTAGGTTAAATTAGGTTGATATAAACGGCCTAAAAAGTCAGTGAGAATATAAAACAATAATTAGCCTTAACATTGAGATCAAATTGCTCATTGCAAAGCTGTGGTTGTGTCACAAGAGGTCAAGTGTTGCACCTTTAGAGAGAAACCTGGTGTGGTCAAGTGTGAACATGTTGCCTTCTCTGATTTTTATTTTCTTGACATTTCTTTGTCATTTAACCTATAGGCAACCCTTTCTCCTCTGTAGCCTTTATCTGAATTTTCTCAGCCTGTTTCTAAATTAGCTTAATTATGAATTATGAATGAAGACACTTTAAAAACCATTTAGCTTCCATGGCATGGGAGTTCCCCGTGTTTAAAAGGAGAACAAGGACCAGTAATTCTAGTATGATAATATGAATGAAAAGCTTTGCAGAAGCTGCATTTGTCCCAGGGGGCAGTGACTGACACGTGAAGGGAATGAAACGGGAATATGCCCTCTTCTGGAAGACGTCTTTGTTTAAACGCAGGGAAACACGGGAAATGTCAAGTCCCTAGTGTTTCTGGTAATTGTGGGGCATATTTTGGGCTTTGGCACTAGAGGACATTAAATTAGCTCTTCTTTGGAAACCAGTGATTTTAGGTTATCGTCACGCAGAAAACAAAGTTGTGAGGGAATTTGCAACAAAAAAAAAATTTAAAGATTCCTCAAGTTTAGTAATCTTAAAGGGTTACTTTAATATGAAAATTGTGTCATAATTTGCTCACCCAGTCCTATGAGACTATTAATCTATGGAACACAAATAAGAATATTTTTAGTATTCTCTCATCATCATATTATCAACCCCATCGTTTATTGTTATTATAATAGTAAGTACATGTAACGTGTAACAAGGACACGTGTAATAAAGTGTTACCAAGTTTGTTTTTTATTTTATTAAGCCAATTAGGTGCAATATCTTTAAATTGTATTAGGCTATATAAATTGATATTATATTTGCTCACAAGATATCGACTATATGTGACCCTGGAGCACAAAAGCAGTGTTAAGTCGCTGGGGGATATTTGTAGCAATAGCCAAAAATACATTGTATGGGTCAAAATTATTGATTTTGCTTTTATGCCAAAAATCATTAGGATATTAAGTAAAGATGATGTTCCATGAAGATAGTTTGTAAATTTCCTACCGTAATTATATATCAGAACTTAATTTGTGATTAGTGATATGCATTGCTAAGAACTTCATTTGGACAACTTTAAAGATGATTTTCTCAATATTTAGATTTTTTTGTTGCACCCTCAGATTCCAGATTTTCTAATAGTTGTATCTCGGCCAAATATTGTCCGATCCTAACAAACCATACATCAATGAAAGCTTATTTATTCAGCTTTGAGATGGTGTATAAATCTCAATTTCGAAAAATCGACCCTTATGACTGGTTTTGTGCTCCAGGGTCACATATAATGTCAATTCAGGTAAATAGGCTACGTCATATTGGATTGCAATTAATAAAAGTTATTAATATTTGCTGAGAAAAGACCCCAAATGATGACAGCTCAAATTGCAGACAAAAGCTTTGCATAGACATGCTGATTTTTTATTGATTTTTAATTATCTAAAAAAAAACACAATAGATAATTAAAGGACATATGTTATAGTGACATATGTGAAGTGTCATAAGTGACATATCTTTTCTTCTGTATCGTGAACAGTACATTCAAATGCAACGGATTATTGAAAAATGAATAGTTCACAATAAGATGCATAACATGCACGTAGAAAAATATAGGATTATTTTTTATTTCATGCTAACACACCAGTATTATATCAACTAGGTTTAAGGTTTTAGATATCAAAACGCTCTGACAATATTCAGAATTCAGTGTGCCAGGAATGACAGTAGATACTGTTGACCTCAATTTGGTCAAAGACACACTATAAGAGTGCTGTGTATCTCTCTATATTTATCTCAATGAGAAATGCAGTGGAACCATGGAGATACATGTCTCGTGTCCCCATGGAAACAACGGCAGCAGCTCTATTACCCCTGAGGGGTATTTAATGCTTGTCAAGGGAATTAGGTTCGTAGGTCACCGAAACCTTCAGTAAACCACTTACTGCTCATTTCACACGCGCCGCAGCTCGGGGGAGGGATCGTGGGCCACAGATGTGTCTGATTGCTGCAGGTTATTGAATTAAACCTAGAGAAATCCTGCTGGAGCTCACAAGAACACAGATCCTATTTATAGACGCAGACCCCATGGAAACCCAGGTGCCTCCATTCGTCCTCTGAGCAAGCCGCTGAACGCCAGACAGAAGACAATAGAGGACGAGGAACCGTCTTTCTGCAGGACTGCCTTCAATCTAATCCTGAATGTTCAGTCGAGGTCCGATCTGGGGATTGGAGAAACTGAGGAATGCTTCTGACATAATCCTGATGTTCATGAAATCATTGTTGAAATTGTTGAGCAATGTCTCTAATCCATGACTATGGGATTAGATCCAATGATTCCCATGAGATGGTGGTCCTACATGAGATTATGCCAAGTAGGACATGTCAACATCTTTGTTGATCTTGGAAAAACATTCAAACCTAACAGATTATTGGGTTACATTTATGGGGTTTTATCGGCCTGTGTTTCCCTTAGATTTTAGGGGTAGTTAACGGTTGGCGTTAGTTTTTCACAGAAATGTTCTTGATCTAGGAACACGTCCCTGAAAAAAAAAACAGATTCTGCTCCATGTCTAGCAGCTAACAACATATATGGTGACCTTCTCTTGTCTGGTTGTTTAAAGGTGATTCATCAAACCACATTTGCATGTTCCACTGCACAGGATCTTGCACCACATTATGCGTTGGTCTTTCTAAATAGCAATCTACCATAATTTCCGTGAAGCCTGTTGTTCAGTCTGACATGGTTCAGACTTGCAGTTATGTGGGATTTTGTGCGCCATCATGTTGCATGTAAGCCACAGCACACATGTACATAGGTTACTATTTAAAGGTGGGCTTGAAAATATTATATGATCTTTATCATCGTGTATGAATATCAGGTCAAAAGGAAAAGACAGGATTTGTCAGTGTTTTTTTTCTTCTTTTTTAGCGGCTTCTAAGTGAATAGCTATGTTTCCATCCAAAGATGGGAATTTAACTTATGCGCAAACTGGAATATCGCATAAAACATTTGTGAATAAAGCATCATTTCCATCCAACGAGTCAAAGAGAACAAAATCATCAATTCCCAATAAACTGGGACTAAATATCATTAAGAAAAGCAGTAGAAGCCACCTAATATAGTAATTTCCATATATGATTAATTACTTTCACCTCAGAGAGAGCAGACGAAACAAATGCAGTCATTGCTTTTGGAGGTGGATGTCTGGTGTTTGGGAACGCAGTCGTGTAAGACAATTATACAGATATACTTTGACGACAGACTTTGATCGGGCATTTCAGAATGACCAAAACATCATTTCAGATGCTGTGCAACGAGATCGGTCCACTGGTTAGTCAAGTTGTCCCATCCCATTGTTCAAAGTCACATGACTTTTTTGATGTGCATGGTGGAATTTATTTGATAAATGTGTTTCCATTGTAGTTTATGTGCATTTTTTTATTGGATAAAAAGTTTATCCTACTCAACTTTGTGCATATGTTTTTGTATGCACATTTTTAGAATTTATGCACATCTTGGCATTTCCATCCAGTTTTTTTTTTTATGCGATATTCCAAAATGTGCATACAAATTGTTTGATGGAAACATAGCTAATATTAAGGTGTAGCTGGGGAGTTTTTTGTGGTTTCTAAATGCTTGCTGACTGATCCTAGTCAAATAGGCCCACCCCATGACTCAATAATATTCTGGCCTACACCAGAGGTCTTCAACCCTGCCCCTGAAGGCCCACTGCAGAGTCTGAACCAGCTAATCAAAGTCTTTAAGGCTGCTTGAAAATCATAGGCAGGTGTGTTGGAGCAGGTTTGAAATAAACTTACAGGACACTGGCACTCCAGGCGCAAAGTTGAAGACCTCTGGTAAAGTGTTGAACCGAAATTGTTACCTTAAAGAGCAGCTTTTACCTGATTTAACCCATAACAATTGGTTTTGTTGGAATTAAGTAAAGTATTTAAGTTGATTCAGTGTAACTAAGTATTTTGTTAGAATTTTTTCCATTTTATCAGTGTATGCTAAGTGAAAAAAGATTAGGAGTATGCATGCATGTAGGAAAGGTTAACACTTTTGCAGACAAGTATGTGTGACTTTTACTA